GCGGCATGTCAGAGAGCCAGTTTGGCTCCAACAGACTCACTGGGAATTTCAGTCTAAGTCGATCTCTTCCATCATAAACCATCCTCCCTTCTCTGGCTGCCTGGTGGGAGCTGGGTTACTGGGAAGATGAATGGAGACTTCCTAGCCAAAGCTTGTTGTGTAGGGTCAGTGCGTAAGAACCAGTGGTTTCAAAGAATCAGAGACTTGACGCTCCACGGAACCTTGGCGGGGGCTTGATGCATCCTCCTCATCGAGGCAGCAGCATCCTTGCAGCTCACCTGCCTGGGACTCAGCCCCTTGGAGAAATGACATCTCACCACCTCCCAAACCAGCCCGTTGGTCTCTGTAGCCCATTTGACTTTAAAGCTTTTCTTACTAGGACCGCAAGCCAGCCCCCTCACCGTGGCCCTCCCACACCCCTTTAGCTGCCTCTACCCTCCAAGGAGGAAAATTAGTCAACACATTTGAATGCTTACCGTAGTCATGGTGGGTATTCATGCAGTCATTCATCAACAACAACCCTATGAAATAGAAACTATTATTATCTTCATTGTACACATGAGAAAACTGAGGCACAGAAAGGTTAAAGTAACTTGCCTAAAGTCACAGTCATAAGCAGTAGCATTGTTTCCATCCTATGGTCCACAACAACCACAGAGATTTAAAGATGGTGGCCGGAATCTTCCTTGGGTTGAAGAAGGTACAGTTTAAAGTCCCCTCATTTCCTCTGGGCCTGTTCCGTGTGGGCCGTGAGGCTCCAGACAGACAGGGACTTCTTGATGTGGCCTCTAGTACTATGTGGCACCCATGCTCTGTTCACAGAGCCCAAGGATGCATTGGCACCCCTGGACAGGGGACTTGCATGATCCCTGGGGTTTATCCTGAACCACAGTAAACCAGGGCTCTCCCCAGAGCTGATGTTCCCCAGCTTCCCTCCTTCACTGCTCAAGACTCTAGAGGTTTGTATCCCATCTACCTGACTGCTCCCACAGGACCGGCCAAGTGATCATCACACACAGTTGCACAGGTTGTGCACTGCTCAATTCTAAGGGCACTCTTCACAAATAGACTGTGAGATGAATGAGCCCTCCCCCCGGAGTCCTAATATTACCACCTACCCAGCTGCCTGAGCAGCAGATCTGTCTTGGGTTCTGATCAGAGCTGGTTGGGCTGTTTTGCCTGTCCTTGAAAAGCATTGTCTAGGCAGACTTGATGGTTCTGGGATCATCTCTCCATGCCTTGTTGCCACGCCCCTTGAGGTTCACCCTGCTGTGGACCTGGCAGGGTTCCATGTAGCCTGTGCTCCGACCAAGCTGGAGCTGGACAAGAACTAGTCCACCTTTAACCTGCCCCTCACTGTAGAGGGGATTGAAGCAGCCCAGGGCTCACCGCCCCCAGGTGCCAAGTTGGGACTGGAACCCAGGTCTTTTGGCTCCAGGACCTCAGTCTTCTTCCCTCTCTCCCAGGCTGCTCTCTCTTCCCCTGTTGTTTCATTCTGTTCCTAAGCACCATGAGGGCATCTAGAGGGCAAACACTTCTCCTCCTTCTCGGGTTTCCTACCAGCACTCCGCAGCAGGCTGAGTAATTGCTGGGTTTAGGTCCTCTCTCCAGCTACTTGTAGACAAAGTACAGAGAGGCCACAAATACCAGGGACCCAGCATCTAGGGTATGGATCTATTCACGACTCATTAGAGAGCATGGGGTTGGGACAGGAGACTTAAGTGTCTCCCAGAGGAGGGTAAGTCAAGGCAGTGCCACACACAGGCAAGCAGGGTTTGTGTTGATCAGGGCTTCTCTGGCTTTGGGGGTAGAAATGTGGCCATAGTTCCCTCTTTTGCTCATCAGACAGCAAGTGTTGGTTCTTTGTTCAGCCAGTGTCAGGTATAAGGTGTGTATAAAGAGAACCCATAGTTCTTGCCTGTGAGTATTACTTGTAATAGATTGTGGGAAGCACTCAGGACTGTCATGTGCAGTTGTACGGGTTGCGCACTGCCCAACTCAAAGGGCATACTTCACATACACTTGAGATAAACGATCTGTCCCCTAGAGTGTGATGCACCACCAGCCCAGCTGCCTACAGTGGCCTTAATGACCTCTCATAGACCTACTTTCAAGGGAGGACCACCCCTATGGTGGGAAGTGAGAGAGGGAAAGTAGCTGGTGCCAATCAGAAAAAGTTTCACCTCAAAGAAAAAGCTTAAACTGGGTCATAAAGGATGAGTAGCTCATCTCCAGCTAAAGAAGAGGAGGGAAGGGTATGTCGGGTAGTGGAAAGAACGTTGGTCAGCCTTTGGAGGCATGAGACCGAGGAGGCAGGTCAAGAATGGGGGAACTAGATGAGTTAGGCAGGCGGCTGGTATGGTCTTCTAGCAAGCATTCACCTGGAGAGGAGTGGTGGAGAGAGGGGAACACAGATCTCAGAGTGACTCGGGTGGGAAGATGGGGTGAGCTCAGAGACATGCAGGACTTGGGGGGTGACATTAGGAGAGCAGGAAGTCTGCTCCTGAGTTTAATGATCAGAGCAACAGCGGCAGGTCCCTCCGGCTGCCTCGCCCTCCTGGCGGCCTGCCCGTGCCAAAGTGCGCATTCCGAGATGGATGTCCAACAGCTGGCCCTTGGCCCCTGGAGACAGGTCACATCAACAACATATTTATTCCCCATTTATATAGAGGCTGATGTTGCCTTCTGCTGGTGTTTATGCCCTCCAGGGTCATGGACGTGGTCTATTTCTGGAGTGTCCCTCACCGCCGAGAGGGCACGGGGAGCCAGTGCCACATCTGTTTGCCTTCACGGGGCTCTACCCAGGGAGTACCTGCTTGTGGCAGTCTGGTGACTTTGGGGTGGGGGGTGCTTCCGAAGCTCTTTCTGAGCACACAGGGGTCCCCACCCCACAGAGAAGCTGGGCCAGACCAGTGATTGCCACTTACTGAGGTGATAATTTGCCGTTGTCCCCCAGCAATTACAGATTTCATTTTTCTAGGCAATAGTTGCAAATTGGATATGGGACAGGCAGGGACAGAGATGTAATTTGAAAACCAAAGAGCTGTAGGGAAATTGAAGATTTGTGCTGCTGGTTGAGCAGAATGTCGGAGGCAGAGAACGGAGAATGCCACCTTGTCTACGACTTTGGCGCAAGCATTTTCCTTGAAGTTGGGTTCACTGAGGTATCATTTACATATACAGTAAGATTCACCCCTTTTAGGGTACAGTTCTTTTGAGTTTTGACATGTGTATGATTTTGTCATCACTACCACAATCCCAATACCAAGCAGTCTGTCACCCCTAAAGGTCCCCAGTGGTCCTCACAAGTCAACCCCAACCCAAATCCGGGCAACCACAAATCTGTTCTCCATCTTTACCGTTTTGCCTCTTCCAGGAAGTCATATAAATGGAATCATATAACGTGTCACCTTTTAAATCTGATTTTCACTTAGCAAAATGCAGCTGAGAGTCATCCATGTTATCGCACAGATCGGTAATTCACTCCTTCTCATTGCTGACCAGTGTTCCATGGTGTGGATATGCCACAGTTTATCCAGTTCTCCAGCTGAAGGGAGGGCATTTGGGTTGTTTCCAGTTTGGGGTGATTACACATACAGGCTGTAAACCCTTGCATACAGGTCTTGTGTGGCCATGTGTTTTCATTTCTCTTGAGTAAATACCCAGGATTAGGGTTGCTTGTGGTCACGTACGTTTCACTCTTTAAGAAACTGGTGTTTTCTAAACTACTGTACCATTTGCATTCCTGCCAGTTCTGGTTGCTCTCCTTCCTTGTGAAAAATTTAAAGAATAAAGTGAAAAGGGTGCTTCAGGGGTTCTGCTGATAAGGCTTCAGCGTTGCCAGGCGGCTGCTGGGAACAGGGGATCAGGAGGAGAGAGATCCCTGAAGTTTGCCACCCCCATTCCCTGCGACACAGCTCCTACATCAAGATTGCTTTTCCATTTTAATCTTTGTCGAAGCGAAGTTTGGGCACTTGCCGGGGTTACTCGTTGGCCCTCTTTCTGTCATGACTTCCCATGATGGATGGGTTTTACACATTGGGCATGGAGCCCGTGCTGGGCCTGACACTTGAGATCAGTGACCCCAGATGAATAAATGACCATGGGCCATTTCCCGCACACTACTGCCTTCGCATGCCGTCTCTCCCTGGAGCTGCCTGCACAGTGGTCTGGGGGCCATTCTAGCTGGACAGGGCGCAGGGAGACAAGCATGGAGGGGTGGTAACCCCTCTCACCTGGTGATGGAAAGCTTCGAAGCCCAGCCCAAGGGCTGTCTGGACGCAGAATCCAGCATGTCTGCCAGTCACCAAGAGTGTGCTTCAGGGCTGAGACCAGCAGGGACGAGATACAGACGGAGTGATTGCCAGACCCCACCCTGGCCTTGGGAAATTGATGGTCTCGTTTTGGGGGTGGAAATGAGCAACTTACACCCTAGGCTAAACAGTATTACCAAAGGCGACATGTGGCAGTTTGGAGATCCGTGCCCCAAGATGGCAGTCAGCCACACTCCTCTCACTTGCAAGGAAGGAAAGTACTCTAAAGGCTGGGCTGTCAGTTAAGTGACAGTGGGAGCTCTCAGGTTGATGAGGAGAGGGGCCAGGACCAGGGGGGCAGCAGAGGGCGAGGGGAGCTGCGGGGATAGCAACAGTCCTAGTGGTCGGAATGGACAGCGATGGGAGTTGCTGTGGAAAAGACATTTCATCTGCATGATCCCTGCCAGAGCTGCCCTGGGGACAGTACAGGACCCTGGAGGCTGGCTGGCTCAGGGGCCCCCAAAGATTGGGAGTTGCAGAGGGAACAGTCAGCATCTCTAGGCCTCTCTGGGGCCTCCTGAGTCAGAACTGGAGCACTGGAAGGAGAGACAAGCAGTCCCCCAGCAGCCTGGGGCAGCACTCTGGGTAAACTGAGTCATCTCCCGCGGGGTCACAGGTGGGTGGCTGCCACAGGGTCTGCCGGGACTTATGACAACCTGTGTCTGTCTGTCTGTCCACCCAGGTGCAAGTTCTTCAGTCTGACCGAGACGCCGGAGGATTACACCATCATCGTCGACGAGGAGGGCTTCCTGGGTGAGTGCTTCTGTCCCGGGGCCTGGGCTGGACAGGGGCCTGCGGTCAGTGCTGGCTGGCCGCCGCCTTAGTTCCGCCCCCACCTGCTGGTGGGTTAGGAAGTCGGCAGAGCTTCCTTCTCTCCCTGTGTTCTGGCTGGTCCCCTCCCTTTCTACTCATGAAACTTTCCCTCAGGAAAGGCCTCAGAGCTAAAAGGGGGCAGTGTTTACCCGGCCAGGAGCTGAAGCAGCCAGAAATGCCAGGGGCATGCTCTCTGGGGCACTGACTGTGAGGGGGGGTGTATTAAATCGTCCTCAGTCCTTGTTCTCATGGAAACAAGCCCCAGTCACCATCCTTTCATGATTTTCCTTTATCTTCCTTCCATTTTTAAAATTGAGATATAACTCACATACCATGGAACTCATCATTTTACAATGTGCAGCAGTTCAGCGGTCTTTGATATTCACAAGACGGTGCAGCCATCACCACTGTCCGATTCCGTAACGTTTCCATCACACCAAAAAGAAACTCCATCCCGACCTCCCCCACACCCTTTTAGTTTTATTATTAAAGTTCATTATGTTTGTACTGCTCTGAAGTGATGGCGAGCATCACTCGTGCTGAATGCTGAGTGATAGGCATTACTTGCAGAGGGGTTGTCACCTGCCCTGCGGTTATCAGTGAGGAGTTGGGAGCGGAGGTAGCAGTCGCATGTCCTGACCCACCAGCTGAGCTCCCCCCAGAGCTGAGTTACAGTCTTCCAAACATGCAGAGAATGCAACAAATCTGACATGTTTTAAAACCCTATTCCCACCCCAAAGACAACTACTAGTCACTTTTTCTTGATTTTCATTCTAATTCTTTCTCAGGTGGTCAACCTTGAATTTATAGAAATGTTTTCACTTCATGTTACAACTTAAAAACTTCCTGAGACATCAGAGCCTTCCCGCAGCAGTCCTGCCTCCCCGCTCAGGCCCCTACGGTTGGCATTAAAGTTGTTTTAGCTGTTCTCCAGTGAGAAATTTAGAAACTTATCCTTAATGCAGGTTAATTCCAAAAATGGGGCCTGAGAAATGGCATTGTGGGGTCAGAAGTTGACTGTTTTGTGATTCTCGATTCGCGTTGCTGGAGTAATGGTATTGACCCTATTACTGGTGAGAAAGTGAAGCCCTGGGAAGCAACTTGCCCCACTACACACTGTCATCCTCACGTGCGCTTGGTCTCGGGCACCAAACCAGTATGGGGGGCTGGGCCTGGCCCCCCACATCCCAAGAGGCACAGTGTCCCTCTCTGCCTCCTAGAGGGCAGCTGTGTGGCCAGAGCATGGATGGGGCAGACCCCATGGGAGGCCTTGCCCCACCATCAAAGGTACCCGTTTAGTCACTCACTCAACTCACTCATTCATTCATCCAACATTTTCTGAGGACAGGCGCCTTAGATGGGAATTTTGCCTTAACCACAAAACACAGTCACATGAAGAGTGTCTGCCTGGGCAACCCAAACACATGTTTCTTTTCTCATGGGCACTCAGAACTGCTGGGAATTGGGGCACCTCGGATGTGGAAGTAACACCCCAGGGTCTGGGAAGAGAGATTCTGTGCAATCCGTCTTCCCAGATGGGAGCAAGCTCTATCTCTGACTCTCCCTCTGGAGGCAGCAAATGAGAAAATACCTTGAGCAGGGAGGGAGGGAGGGAGTTTGCAGGACCTGGTGAGCCGGTTCTGCAGGCCCTGGAAGGCTGTGTTTGCGGGAATTGTCAATAACCAGGGAGCTGTCCTTCAGCTGAGCTGAGTGGCTGGTTGTTCTGAGCCAGTGCCCAGGGGTGGCGGGAGGCAGTATTTACTGAGCACCGGCCATGTGCGGGCATCTTGCTGGGCCCTGGAGATGCAGCCGGAATGAGAGGCACCACCTCCAACCCCCTGGGCCTCAGGGCCTGCCAGCTAATTACACCATTCATTGTCGAGCTGCCCTTGTGGCAGGTGCTGCACAAGGAGGGCATGGATGCTGGGAGAGCATATGAGAAAGGATGCCCGCCGTCCAGGAGACCCCACAGCAGAGGCCCTTGAAATAGGAGGCAAGACCAGAGGGTTGAAACTTGACCCCCGAGTCGACATAGGTGGACATTTCCCCAGCCCTGACGGTGCTTCTGTCCGCAGACACTGTGCGGAACGCTGGAAACGACTCTTCTTATCCTCGTTTTATAGATGAGGACATTGAAGCACAGACATGTGACGGAGCCGCCCCAGGCCTCACTCCTGGCGTCCTTTATGGGTGTTTCCAGGGAGCTGGCCCTCAGCAGGGTAAAGCAGGGCAGACCAGGAGGCGCAGGTTCCCAGCTGGTGACAAGCAGGCCTTCGGCTTGCTCTTCAGTCCTGGGAAGGTGGGGCATGGGGAGGCAAGTTTAAACTATCAGCCGAAGAGTGGCCCAGCCACTGGCTGTCCTGAACTCTGTGACTTCTGAGTGAGGGTCTCACTTCCTGGTCAGTACACCAGGCTGCTTGGATATCCATCTCTGCCCAAGAGAAAACTGTGTACCTCTGTTTAAGTGGTAAGTATCTCTCTCACTCGTGCTGTGGAGCTGCGGGGGGAAGGTACGCAAAGTCAGACTCCCACTCAGCCTCACTGCTCTCACTGTACCTGAGCTCAGCAGAGGCGTACCACCTCCTGGGATCATTCCTGTGGCCTGGAGGCTGAAGAGAGAAGACCCATTTTATAAGTGAGGAAACTGACATTTATGTGCCCGGAGTCACTATGAGTGACAGGCTGATTTGAACTTGGAAATGCCTTCAGGGTGGTTTTGGCCAAAATGAGAAGAAAATACTGCTGAGAAGGGTGGTGATTCCCAACAGACCAGGGTCAGGAGCAGTTGAGAAGCGGGGAAGTCTCTCAGAGGGCAGGATTTGGGGTGGAGCGGGCTGGGAGCCGCAGTGAGAGGCAGTGATGCTGAGTTCCACCCTCCCGCCTCCGCTCTGGAAGGGGCGTGTGCGGGTTTCTCAGGAGGCTCCTCTTCAGAAAGGGAGTCTCGTCTTGTGGCTGCCCCGGAGGGACCAGGGAGGGACGCTGGCTGCGCCCACTATGTGAAGGAAGGTGTCCCATCTCCCAGCTCTGCAAAGGTTGCTTCTCACTGAAGGGCCTCCCTTGGCCACTGTTAACATGAGCCAGGGTGCCTGGGTTATTGTTCGCTGGCAGTGTCTCTAGCGTGAAGTTTCACGGTTAGAAACCAGCAGCTGTCCACAGCTCACTTGTATGTAAGATACTGGACCTTTCCTGGGAGGGAGGGGCGATGGTCAGTGACATTAACCGGACAGCTCATTCACCCTGGGGTTTTAGAGGTTCTTGGCTCAAATGGATACTGTGTGTCTAGGTGGCAAACAGAAGGGATATGCATGTATGTATTTTGAGCTTTTATGTATTTAATGAGCACTTACTATGTGCAGTGCTGCATGTTATCAGGGACCCAGAATAAGAGGAGCAGCAGCCCTTGCCCTGACCATTGGGGAGTGAGCAGAACCCCAGGTTTGCAGTTAGAGGAGCCCCGCCCATCGCAGTCCCCTGTGTGTGTCGGTGTGATCCGTAGGCGTGACTGATCAAAAGACAGAGGAGGGAAATGTGAAGCAGTAGCTGCTAGCCTCCCCCAGGGCTAAGATAGGGAGACCTGGATTCGGATCCAGGCTCTGCTACTTTCTGAGCAAGCTGCTCAGCAACTGGGGCCTCCATGGCCTCATCCCTGAACAGGACCGCCTCCCTCCCTCTCAGTTCCATAAGGCATTCGCAGGGCCATATGACTTGCACCAGGTAGTTGCCACATCCACCTTGCTTGTCCCCTGGGGCAAACAGTGCAGTGCCCATCAGCGCTCCTGGCATCGCCCTCCTGGCTCTAAGCTCATAATTTACCATTTCAGTAAGCCATGGGGCAAAGTACTGCCCCCAGCAGGGGTCCCCTCTACACAAGGTCCAGGTGAGAGGAGGAGCTTGGATCTCTGATCGAGCTGGTTCTTACTTCCCCTGAAGCTGGCCCTCCCCATAAGCACTGATGGGGATGATGCCCACCTTCTTTATCTGGTCATCTGTCAATGGACATTTAGGTTGTTTCCATGTCTTGGCTATTGTAAATAGTGCTGCTGTGAATATTGGGGTGCATGGGTCTTTTCGAGTTAGAGTTTCCTCCAGATATATGCCCAGGAGTGGGATTGATGGATCATATGGCAACTCTGTTTTCTAGCTTTTTAAGGAACCTCCATACTGTTGTCCATAGTGGCCGCATCAGTTTACATTCTCACCCACAGTGTAGGAGGGTTCCTTTTCCTCCACACCCTCTCCAGCATTTATTATTACTAGACTTTTTGATGATGGCCGTTCTGAATGGTGTGAAGTGATAACTTCATTGTAGTTTAGATTTGCATTTCTCTGAAAATTAGCGATGCTGAGTGTCTTGGAAAACATATCTTTTAAACAGATGCATAGTATTCTGTCATAGTTGAACTGTGGTTTGGCTACCGGCTCTGACATTGACTTTTATGTAGCTCCCAGGTCTTCATTTGAAATGCTTTTGGGTTGAATGCTTATACTCATGACTCTTTGCCCCTTGAGTAACTACTCCTTTCAGTGAAACTGCACATTTTAAAACTCTTAATACGTTCTCCCCAGCTGCCATCCAGAAACCAGCAAAACTACCACCAGCAGCATTATAACAGAAAGGCTCGGTTTTTGTCATCCTTGGACACCAGAGGTGGTGGTCTTGCCCGGGGTCACAGAGCAAGGTGAAACCCACCCACCTGACCCCAAGACTCTTGACCTGCAGCAGGCAGGGTAGGAGAAGCCTGACAAACTGTGTGTGGAGGGCGTGAACACGTAGCACAGGGAACCGCGCGTCCTGCAGCCGGAAACAGGGGACTCTTGGTGAGGTGGGGGGGCACCCAGAGACAGAGCTGCTGACTTTGTGTCTGGAAGGTGGCAAGCGTCCCCAGCGATCCACCAAGGAGCGTCCTCAGCTCTGAGAGGCTATTTTTAGGGGCTTGGACGATGGGCAGTGACAGAAATAATACTCCATTTCAGTCTTGGAATAGGTCCACTTCTCCTCTAGGGAAGGGCGAGCTTGCTCCCTGTTGGCCAACCTCCCGGCGGCCCATCCCCACAGCCCCAGAGCGGCACCTCGGGCACCCAGAGGCTTGGCCCGGGTGAGGAGGGGGCCCAGGCAGGCCTCCCCTCTCCCCCAGAGTGCCAGGGCAGCATCTGGGGTTCCCAGGGCCAGAGGCAGCGAGCGCTGTGGCCTCCTGCTTTGCTGCTCTGACAGAGCTTGCCTTCTGGAAGCTTCAGAGAAGTGACCGCTGACCCAGAGCTGACCGGCTTCTCCATCCAGGCCTGCTGCTTGAAGCACCTCACTGGGTTCCATCCAGGGCTGTGAGCCGGGAGCAGCAGGCCCAGAGGCCGGGAGCTGGGAAAACGACCCCTCCCTGCTCACCAGCCGCCCGGACCTTGGCCAGCATTTGGGTTGACCTGAAATCTCTGGGCAGTGGCAGCCTGTGGGCTGCTCGCCATCCCCTGCCCACCCACTTATGCCCCCATTTCCAGTCGGCCTCAAGCCTGGGGCCTGTCTGAAACTGCCAAGAGACCCCTCGGAGCAGAGCCTGGGCGACTCCAGCACCCCCTGAAAATGCACTTACCCCAGTGCTTCGTGGACTTAGAGGGAACAGCCTTCCCCACTGTACTGGCAGCAGCTTCCCCGCAGCCTCCACTGGAAAGGATGGAGCCAGGACTAGAGTTTGTCCCCGTCTGAGCCCAAAGCCTGTGTTCTGTGCCGCCACCCCCACGTGCTCACTGAGGACCCCACTGGATGATGGACAGGGGACAGAGGGCAGTCCTGAGGCTGAGGCAGCGGAGTGTCCACCTGCCGGTGGGACCGTGGTGTCAGATTGGGGCATTGGAACCCCGGGTTCCCGGACACCCCCACTTTACAGTTGTGAAGCTAAGCCCTACAAGAGGGGTTTTCTCAACACCCCACAGAGGGCCGGTGGCAAGGTGGGTCTGGAAGGTGTGCCACCCCCAGAATGAAACACCCCTACCCCTCACCCCCATCATTTACTGCAGCATGACCTTGGGCCAGTCAGCTTCCATCTCTGAGCCTCAGTTTCCTGTTCAATGAAATGGGGAAGCAGCCGGCTTCTCAAAGCCAGTGTACATATGTCTCTAAGCAAATGGACCACATTCTGCTCAGTCCCCACTGGTGGACTGAGAAGTCAAAGAAGTTGGCAGTGTCTCGGGATGGCACTGGCTTTCCCGATCCTGGGAAGTCGGGTATAGGACCATGGGATGATGTCAGAGGCCACCTCCCGCCCAGGGTCTGGCAGTGGGACCAAGCCCTGACCGCAGAGATGAGCTGAGAGGCTGGGGGGAGCAGACAGGGTAGATGGGTGGGAACAAGGGCCCGGGCAGGGTAGAGAGGCAGGGATAGCTGCCCGTGTTCCTCCTCATCCATTTGTTTGCAGTCTCCATGTGCCAGGCACTGAGAATAGCAGAAAACAATGCCGATCAGGACCGCCGCCCTGCGGGAGCTGACCTGCTAGTGGGGCCAGTCATAGACTTGAGGTAGCCACTCACCCAAGGTGGCTATGGGCATTTAAATGAACTAAGATAAATAAAACTTAAAGCTATATTTCTTCTGTAGCGCTAGCCACATTTCAAGTGCTCTGTAGCCACATGGGGTGAGTGGCTACCGCTTTGGAAAACACCGGTGTAGGCCGTCTCCATCATCCCAGAAAGCCCTCTCGAACAGCGCTGGGTCCCAACGTCACAGGGTCTTTGGCTTTTTCTCCAGAGGACATGGGAAGCCACTGGGCAGTTCTGAATTGTGAAGAACTTGGACTAGGCAGGCAGAGGACAGGTTCACAAAAGCTGACATGGCCCTGTTGTGTTAGCATGTGGTGACATAAAGGACCCTCCCAGATTTTTCCCAAGAAGGCTTTAGGGGTTCTGCCCTAACGGAAAGGGGCATTTACATTTTTATCATTAAATATGTTTACTAATATTTTGTTTATTACTATATCAAAATGGTGTTTCCGATGATAGGACCATCGGGGCACCCGGCCCTCGGTGGCTCCTGGGGCTGTCTCTGCTTAAGACGGCAGGGTTGGGGGCTCACAAAGCTGCCCCCAGGAAGTCCCCTCCATGGCCAGGTCCAGGGCCCTTAGAATTTCAGAATTGAGCTGGGACCCCCAGTTCTGTGGAACGTGTTTCCTCTGGCAGTCCTGGGGCTGAGAAGTCTGTCTGTCGACACCCCAGATAGTAGGTGGACGGACTGGGTGTGGAAGCCCGAGGGCAGGTCCTTTTAAAACCGTCCCTTCTGCTCCCCTCCCCAACTCCCTTCCCTTCCCTGGCAAACCACCTGCCCCTCCAGCCAGCCTGGCAGAGGACTAGCCCTTCCCAGCCAGCAGGCCCAGCGGGCTCCCTGGGCTGCGGTCGCCATGGTGACCGGAGCTGGGCGGGTAGGGGCCCTCTTGCCTGAGGCCAGCCCAGCTTCCCTTGGGCATCATCATGTCATCACAGCCCCCTTAACTCACCAGTGTCGGGGCCGCTCAGCCTCCGCCCTTGTTGGGGACCTTGCCCTTCTTCCCAGGTGGTGCCCAGCATGGAGCATGAGGGTCTGTTTATAAGTCAGACCTGGGTTTGAATCCTGGCTCTGTTATTCCCTAAGTGATCTTGGGTAAGTCACCAGCCCCTCTAGAGTTCTGGTTTGTCACATGGACCGTGGGAATAGCAGCCCTGGTGTGGGGTGGGTTTGGGCAGGCGACTGTGATGTGTGGAAAGTCCAGAAATAACACAGTCATTACTGCCAAGTGCTCACCGTTTCACAGCTGGGGAGACTGAGGCCCAACACAGATAAACTACTCGTCCCCGGGGTTCCGCCCTGCTGAGCTGCCTGGCACATCCAGAGTCCTCTAAGGGCCTTCCCTGCTCTGTCCTCCCAGGATGGGACATTTGAGGCCGATCCCATCCTCCTTTGATGGATGAGGGCACTGAGTTCCTGAGGGTGTGCTGGCCGGGGTCACACAACTGGGGCTCATCAGTCACAGGCCTGCCTGCCTTGTCCCCGTCCAGAGCTGCCCTCCTCAGAGCACTTGAGCGTGGCCGACGCCACCTGGCTGGCCCTCAACGTGGTGTCAGGCGGCGGCAGCTTCTCCAGCTCCCAGCCCATCGGCGTGACCAAGATCGCCAAGTCAGTCATCGCCCCGCTGGCTGACCAGAACATCTCCGTGTTCATGCTCTCCACCTACCAGACGGACTTCATTCTGGTGAGCCGCAGCCCATGCTGAGGGCCTTGGGCACCGTGGGCACTCCGCAGACGCAGTCCTCAGAGTCTGTCACTCTCCTTGGGTCACAGGCCGAGAGAGGTCAAGGGTACCTCGGGTCGTTAGTCCTCTGTCAGCATGGCCCAGGCCCAGCCCCACCCACTGTCTGCCTTTTGTGTGGACCATGCTTAGTTTGAGCTGGAGGCCAGGCAGTGAGGGCTGGGGACATGTGGGTGGGGCCCCCTCCCAGCTGGACATCTGGCTCACCAATCCCGTACCCCTCCTGGGGTGTCTGGTCACAGAGCCAGCAGCAACTCCTGGCCACCGTGTCATTCTTGCTTGTCTCCTGTGGGGCCCGGCCACCCTCAAGAGCATGGGCCTGGGAGGGCTGGAGACAGATCTGGGCACCACACTCAAGAGTGCAGAGTGGAACGTGGACCTGTACCTCCTGGCCCTCGGCACAGTCTCCTCCCCGCTGTGTCCTCCCTGCTGCTCCTGGGAAAGCACATGCCCTGGTCCTGGGCTCCTGTCCACCACCAGGACAGCGAGAGACCAGAATGAAGGAAGCTGGTTCTGGGTACAGAATCTCAAATCTCAGAGTGAAGGGGCTGGTGCCTCCAGGCCCTCTCCATCCAGGGACCATGGGACACTGACATCCCTGACTCCGCATCCCCAGGTACGAGAGCGGGACCTGCCCTTCGTCACCCACACCTTGTCATCAGAGTTCACCATCCTGCGGGTTGTCAATGGCGAGACGGTGGCAGCTGAGAATCTTGGCATCACCAATGGCTTTGTGAAGCCCAAGATGGGTGAGTTGAGGGAGGAGGGATCTATGCAGAGAGACATCAAGAAGTTATCAGGTCCTGTGCCAGGGCAGCCCCGTTCTCAGAGCATCAGTTGAGGGCCAGGCATAACACAGTACAACAGTCCTGGTCAGACCTTACGCCCAAAGTCTAGCGAGGGTGCAGCCAGCGATGGCCAGAGGCCACCCCTGACCTGACCCGGGGTATCAGGGCGGCCCTCCTAAAGCCAGTGACTCTCAAGCTGAAGCTTGGAGCACAAATAGGAGCTAACCCAAGTGGTGAAGGTTAGAAAGGGCGTTCTAGGCAGATGACATGGCATGTGCAAAAGTCCTAGGCCCTAGAGGTGAGCCTGGAGAATCAGGAGAGCTTTAGGTGGTGATGGGGGCCAGATTTCACAGGGCCTGCAGCCTGTCCTCCCCAGAGCAGCTGCCACTGCCCCCACCCCTGTTCCTGGGCTCTCCCACTGCCCAGCTGCTCCTCCCCTCCCCGCTCAGCACCTGATGTCTCTGTGCCCTCGCAGTCCAGAGGCCCGTCATCCACCCCCTGTCCAGCCCAAGCAACAGGTTCTGCGTCACCAGCCTGGACCCCGACACACTGCCTGCTGTTGCCACTCTCCTCATGGACGTCATGTTCTACTCCAACGGGTAGGAGTGAGGGGCTGCGGGCTGGGCTGAGGGGCGACGTGGGTCTGCTTAGGGCTCACGTCTGAGAGGGGAGGCACAAACCTGCTCCGGGAGCCAGCCTGGGGGGTGAGGCACAGACCAGCCCTGGAAACTAGTCTAAGAGGGGAAGTCATGGCTCTACCCCAAAGCCCCATTCTAAGAGGGGAGCCATTCTTCCCTGGGAACTCCAAAGCTTGGTGAAGCCCCCCGCCCACGTGTAGATGTGACAAACACCCCCTGTCCCCTGAGCTCCAAGGGCGAGCCTAGTCACTTGAAGAGCCAGGAACTCAAGTTTTTTCATTTGGTCGATGTCAGGTTTTGCAATTTTCCATAAAGCAGATTTTAAGTTTAAGCCAACACCAGGTGGGGTGCGGCCGGGGTCCAGCAAGCTGACAGTGACCACAGACTGTGTGTGCCCTGAGATGTGGGCCAACACAGGGACAAAGACACCCTGCCCGGTAAGGGGCAAGTGTCACCTGCACCGAGGGCCAGCTGGGTCCCAGCACTGTGAAGTGCGGTGCTCACCTCCATGAATGCCGTGGAATCATTCGCATTTCACAGAGAAGGAGACCAATGGGGGGCATTGGCTCAGGGTCCCCCAGTGAGGCAGGATCAGAGCCAGGACTTGGCCAGGCTGGTGCTCTTCCCACGCCACCCCTCACCAGCTCCCTCGGCCCCCAGGGTGAAGGACCCCATGGCAGCCGGTGACGACTGCGGCCACATCCGCTTCTTCTCCTTCTCCCTCATCGAGGGCTACATCTCCCTGGTGATGGACGTGCAGACCCAGCAGAGGTGAGCTGGGGGGGGGGCTTGTGATGGGCATGTCACCCACCCTGCCCTAAAAGACCATGGGTCACCCAGTGTCATCCATCACTGTTTGTCCCTCAGCCCCCCGTCTAGAGCTGGGGAGAGGTAACCTGACCAGTCTGAGCAAAGAGGGCAGTTGTTCCAAAATCTGGCCCCTGCCTTGC